TTGGGCACAGCAGTTGCCATGAGAACAGTTGGGAATTAACGGGGACCAGACCAGCCAGCCACTAGCCCTACTAGGAGTCCATCCATCTCTCCAGTTTAAACGCCTCTGGCAGTCATGGGCCTGGCATTTTTTCACAGCTCAGAGTTTTTCTACCCCCCTTTTCACGGGTCTGTCCTTCAGACATTGTAAGGAATAGTGCAGGGCTTGACAGCGGAGGATAAGAGGGGAAAGGGGAATACCTAAAGATAAGAGCTGCAGAAGGTAAGGTGGCCTCTGCCATCTCAGGTCAGTGAGAAGGCATACTGGAAGACTCTGTGGAGTGGAAGGGCAGTGCTGCTGTTGAAACAAGTCCCAAGATAGGGCCAGAACTGTCCCGGGACTCTTCATCATGATGGCTGTTGAAGGGTCAACCATTACCAGCCGGATCAAGAACCTGCTGCGATCTCCATCCATCAAACTACGCAGGAGTAAGGCAGGAAACCGGCGAGAGGACCTCAGCTCCAAGGTGAGTCCTGATATTGAGAACCACCCCTTTCCAACCCTCCCCTCCTCTGTTCCATGTTCCTCTTTCTCCTTCCTCTTGGGAAAGAGAAGAACTGGAAGCTCCTGTTGGTTCTAAAGGATCAGGTGTGCCCATCTCTGCCTCTCTAGAAAGCAGTGACGTTTTAGGTTAAAGGAAAAAAGATCAGCAGGGTGGACATGCTGAGATTCATTTTTGAAAAGAGGAATAGGAGAAAGGCGACCCAGGTTCAGTTGTGGCCTCAATACAAACTAAGTCTGTGTTTGAGGAAGCCAGTTGATATGCTATGACTCAATTTCTCTTCTTGAAAGAGGGTAATGGGACCACATATCTTATGAAGGGCTAAGCTGTGACTAATGTAGCTGCAAGTGGTAGTGTCACAGTTAGGTTATGTAAGACCTAGTCTGAGGTACTGGCTTGGCAAATGCTCTTGCTTGGGGTCAAAACAAATTTATTGGTCTCTTCAAGAAACCTAGATTAATTTAACTGGAGCTTCTTGGCTTCTTAGGAATGATAACATGCAAGGAGTGAAATACTTGACAGCAAAACAGTTTTCCTTCTTTGCCCTTGAACATTGCTTATCTCATTCACTGTATGCCAAGAGCCACATTCCACCTTGCTGCTGCAGAAGTTCCCCAGAAGCCAAGTCCCTTTTTATCTCCTTAGTTGTCTGGGTGTTCCTCTTTATGTTTTCTTTAACTTTGTTGAGCCCCACAACTTCGGGAATACAAAAGTAGACTACATTTATTTAATCCCTGAGGGAATCCAGGACTTTGTTCCCACAGGATTGGATTAGACTTTTCTGTCTTATTAGCAGCTTGTAAACACAGTAGCCTTGTGTGGTACAGGATTGCTATAGGGAGAGGCGTTTGAGACAGCAGCATTTTATTGCCTCGCCTGTATCACTTTAGAGATGAGAAATGACTTAGAGTGCTAATGTACAACATGGCAGGATTACGGGAGGACTTAGTTCAGATCCCTATCCCTTTGTAGAACCTTACTTGGATTTGATCATAAGGTGAATGGCTTTCCTATATATTTCATCAGAGGTCATATTAAGTCAAAATTGGCCACAAGATTCCATGACAGTGGAGATAGTGACTTTTCCAAGGATTCTTATTCATTAATAATTTTTCATGTTTTCCAGAGGCAGGGGAATGAGCCTGAAATTTATAAATGTTCTTAGATATGACTCTTCATTTTTTGTATTGGGTCATTCTTAGTACTTCAAGCACTCGTATTCTCGACTGGTTACTTGGCAGCGACCGGCACTATTAGAGCAATCTTCTCATATCTTTGGCTTCTTTTTCTGACAAAGAGTGGTATAGGTAGTATAAATGTGTGATGAGAATTTAGTCTTTAGTGTTAATACTTACTGTAATTTTGGTCTGTGATTCAGAAGGTCTGGTTACCATTCTTTAAATCTTCCCATATCATTCATCATTAATGCATTCAACAGATGTTTATTGTGTGCCTATTATGTGTGGAATCAATGATGAATAAAACATTATTTTTGTCCTCAAAGAGCTTGTGGCTAGTTAGACTTACAGACAAATAATTACAACATGATGTGGTAAGTGCTGTCCTAGAAGTGTGCAACAGGTGTTAATGGCGGCACAGGGGAGGGAACCTAAGTCAGCTTAGGGGAATTAGGAAAGACTTCACAGAAGGGCTGCTTGAACTGTGAGTCCTGAGGCAAGAGGAGAAGAGAAGCTCTCCAGGAAAACAGTGAAAAAAGGCATCCCCGGTACCACCATTAAATTTCCTTTAAAATATGGATTCAGTGCTTCAGACTCTTTAAATGGCTTTGTTTGTCCTAGAGCTGTGAATGAAGGAAATACTTAGCTGAAGTTGAATGACCCTTGAATAGTCTGACAGAACAAGAGTACTGATACATATCTTTAGCACCCAAAAGTTGTATTTGTCTTTGTGTGCCTAGAACTCTACAGCTGCCTGACTTGCCACACTCCTTACGAAAGACTATACCTAAGGTGATTCTAAAAGCCTGCCTTCTGGTAACCCGCATAGGACTTGGTGTGTAAGGCTTTGTCAGCTGCTCTAATGTGTGGTGGCTGTGGGTATTCAGAGAGAGCTTGTGATTCATGGATAACTAACTCTGAAATAAAATTTGAAGACCAAAAGACCTATGTCTTTTTGGGGTGGGGGACAAAGAAGGAAATGACAGAGGGCTTTTTTATGCAGCTCTTACCTCACATGGCCTGCTGCTTTGAATCACACTGTTCCTTCTTGTAAAATAGCCTTTTTACCAAATTCTCCACTTATTTTTAGATCCCACTCTATATTTACTGGAGCCACAGGGCCTTCTCTGACCAGCCCACTACCTTGGAACCAGTCCCTAATTGTTCTTTTGTGTGTGTCTTCATTTCGTATAGTCAGGGGTCATGTTTTTTACACCACACTGTTTAGTACAGTATAAGGTATGCAGTAAATACTAATTGAATAAATGAGAACAATTTAAAGATGTCAAATGTAGTAGGGATAAACTGGGAATTCCAAAAGAATAAAAAATAATCAGGAAGAGTTTGTGACCTCTTTAGAAGATAAATCAAAATTAAAAACAGTAAACTGTTGAAAAAGAAGTAGAGATGCAGCCTAGATATGTGTGAAGGGCATAAGAGAGAGGGGGAAGTATGTATGTGCAGAAAGTAGTGCTCATTAAAGGCTTTTTAATTCAAGAGAGGCCTACTTAAAAATATGGTTAAAATACAGTTAAAAGCTGAAGTGAGAGCCAGTAGAGATGGGAATTTTAAGTTATTAGAGTAGATGAGAGCTGGGATTTTTTAAAACTTTTTCTAAGGGAAGGAAGTCTCTGTAGTGTAATAGCATTGGAAAAAAGTAATTTGATATTTTATGGCAGATCTGAGTCTTGATGAACTAAAACTCTCAAAGTTGTCAGTTGTAAACACTCTTCAACTTCAAATCCTGTACAAATGTCAGTTCAACCTTTCATCTCAGTTGAGGCTATGTTTTCCTTAAGAAGCAAATGCATGTGCTCTTGGTAGCTAATCCTCCCCCTTTTTTCTTAAAGTTTCTGAAAGATTTTTATGTAGAGGGAGCTGGGTTGTTTTTCTCTCTTAACAAAGGACAGAAGTGGACTGAAGCCGAGCAGGCAAGATTTAAATTAGGGATACAAAAGGATTCCCTGTGCTGAAGGGTTGTTAGGTTTTGAAAAAGTTAAGTGAAGGAGTTTTTGAAATCTTCCTTAATAGCTCTTAATCCAATTTGGGTTTATATTATCCCTCTGGAAATAATGGCAAGGTGACTTGCAGCTTTCTTCTAGTTCTCAGTTTTTATGAATACAAGTCTAATTAATTCTCATGTTCTGCCCCCTCTCCCCTTTTCTCTCTCTCATAGTCCCCATTTTTTTCTCTTGCCTGATGGTGTAGTGGTACTTTGAGCCTTTTAACATGTGGCTCTAAGAAGAGTTTGTGTAGATGAGTTTCATGGAGGAGAAAAAACTGGCAATAATCTAATTTCAACTTTTTGCTCAGTGTTTGAGCTCAGGTATTAGTATTGAGATTCTTTAATCCACCTATTTGGTAGTGGAGAAACTTATTCATTTTAAAAATATTTATGGATCATTGGCTCAAGGTTGTTGGCTCTCACTTGGGGGAAGAGTCAGGAGGGCAGTAAGACATCAGAACATCAGAATATGTACATCATTTAAAAAATACACATTCCTTGGCCCCATCCTAGCTATATGGAATCAGAAGCTTTGCAGGTAGAGTCTGGTAGCTGTCTATATATTAAGTTCTACCAAAAGCCCACTGCTCCGTGACGAACCCCTGGTTTAAGTGCTAGGACTCTGAAATCTGTTGGCTTCATACCCAAGTCCTCATTGAGGCTTCTTGAGAATATATAAAGCTAGCCCAATAAGTGTAATCTTCTCTTTGAGTAGTTAAAAAATTTTTTTTTAAATTTCAATTACAGTTGACATACAATATTATGTTAATTTCAGGTATACAACATAGTGATTAGATATTTATATAACTTATGAAGTGATCACCTTGATAAGTCTAATGCCTATCTGACACCATACATAGTTATTACATATTATTGACTGTATTCCCTATGCTGTACTTTACATCCCTGTGACTGTTTTTATAACTGGCAATTTCTATTATCTTTATCTCTTCACCTTTTTCACCCATCCCCCAACTCCTCTCCCAGCTGGCAGTCATCAATTTGTTCTCTATGAGTTTGTTTCGCTTCGTTTGTTCATTTATTTTGTTTTTTAGATTCTACATATAAGTGAAATCATATGGTATTTGTCTTTCTCTGTGCGACTTATTTCACTTAGCAAAATACCCTCTGGATCCATCCATGTTGTTACAAATGGCAAGATTTCTTTTTTTTATGGCTGAATAATACCATTTGCATATATGTACCACATCATTATCCAACCTATCGATGAACGCTTAGGTTGCTTCCATATCTTGGCTATTGTAAAAGTACTTCAATGAAATATGGGTGCATATGTCCTTTCAAATTAGTGTTTTGAATTTCTTCTGATAAATACCCAGAAGTGGAATTGCTGGGTCATATGATAGTTCTATTTTTAATTTTTTGAGGAACCTCCATACTCTTTTCCATAGTGGCTGCACCAGTTTACAATCTCGCAAACAATGCATGAGGGTTCCTTTTTCTCCACATCCTCACCAACACTTGTTGTTTGTTGATTTATTGATGATAGCAATCTCACAGGTATGAGGTGATATTTCCTTGTAGTTTTAATTTGCATTTCCCTGATGATTAGTGGCCTTGAGCATCTTTTCTTCATGTGTCTATTGGCCATCTGTATGTCCTCTTTGGAGAAATGTGTATTAGGAACCTCTGCCCATTTTTTAATCAGATTATTATTATTATTTTTTGTGTTGTATGTATTGCTTATATGTTTTGGATATTAACCCCTTATCAGATATATTGTTGGCAAATATCTTCCTCCAGTTTTGTTGATGGTTTAC